TAATGTTGCATCACACATTTGTGTATATATAATTTTTTGCCATTTCAATTGTTTGTCTTTATAAGTGTCAGTTAAACTGCAGCTTTATTTCATTCTTATTGGCTCAATGATTCCATTCTTCCTTGATAATAAAAGCCCTGAATTCTAACAGTGAGATCTATTGTTAATACTCTGGATTCATCCTTTTCCCCTGGTTTTCATTAGGTTCCGAGCTCATGCCCAAAGCCCTCTCCACCAGGATAGTGGGAGGCATTTGGTGGTTTTTCACACTTATCATCATTTCCTCGTACACTGCTAATCTAGCCGCCTTTCTGACAGTGGAGCGCATGGAATCCCCCATTGATTCAGCAGATGACTTAGCAAAGCAAACAAAGATAGAATATGGAGCAGTTGAAGATGGAGCAACAATGACCTTTTTTAAGGTAGGCCCTTTATAATTAATTTGAGAGAGAAAATGCTATGTTTTCTTACTTCTACTCAGCAAATTAGCAGGCAGGAAAACCCTTTCTTCATCTAAATTATTTTTTGGCATATATGAAAATGTAAGATATATTTGTCCATAAACATTCATTGGAAGTTTGCCATTGGAAGCCTGGCTCTGCTTGAAGAGGCTTTGCTCTAAGGCTTTGCTTTAAGGCTTTGCTCTTAATATTAATTCCTGGATATTTCCAGGCATACTTAATTTGCCTGCTGGATACTGGATATAATGGGAAAGGAGAAATTTGGCTGAGGCAGAATGATCTTGCTTTTGATGTGCATTCAGGTTCTTCTAGGGAGATCTCACTTTGGCCCAGAAGCCAGATGTTGCCCATCTCTGGAACCCCAGAGAACTGGATTCCTAAAACATGCTTACTACATTTCCAAGCTTACTCCTTGGAATAACCTCTGTCTTATCCCTATTTGATTGGAAATAAGTTCCATTTACTTTTGAACTGATAGTTCTTGTTGTTGTCACTATTATGGTTGGTTGCACAGTATTATTATCATTATCATTATTATATTTTTATCCTGCCTTTTTCATCAGGACAGCTAGTGAAATAACACAGCAAAGGATACTTCCCCTGGTTCCTCTTTATCTGGTTTAATTTAATGTTTTAATCTAATAGGTACTTATAGTCAAATCAACTTGTATTATTTTATTTCTTAGAAACTAGAAAGACATCAGTTGGCCAAGTTCCAGGTTCTGTATGCTTTGACGTTGACCAATATGTTTCTGATGTACTAAGGCAGTACTGAAGTGATATCCATCATTGCATTATACTTGGCATAAATTACTAAATAAAACAATATTGGAATCACTTATTGGTAAACTTTGCCCAAGTATTGTGAGCAAGTTACCAATTAGGATGCAGTATCAGCCTCATATGATAAAATTTGTGCAAGCCTGAACTGCCACTGAGAGTTGGAGAGGAGTGGTAGATAACATCCTTTCCTATATATATATAT